GCTGCTCCTCGGAAATCCTATAGAGGGTCACTATGGGTCAGAATCGACTCAACGGCACTTTACAACAACAACATCTGTACATCGGTAGTTATCTTTGCAGAGTCCTGATATGGTGTTGTAGGATAAGCACTGGACTGCTAACCACAAGATCAGTAGTTCAAATCCACCAGCCACTCCTCAGAAACCCTATACAGGATCGTTATATGCTGGGATAGACTCAATGGCAGTTAACAACAACATTTACCTTTGCTACAACTATAGCCATAAATATGGTAGAGCCTAAAAACTTCTTAGACATAACCAAACACATTAAGGAAATGAGTTGCTGGGCCTGGTGCTCAGAACCACAGCCATAATCAACTGGCAGAACACAGCACAAAGACAGTGTTCTACATCCTACTTTGGTGAGTAGTAACTGGGGCCTTAAAAGCTGGTGAGCAGCCCTCTGAGGTCTGGAGGAAAGGTGAGTGGTGACAAAAATTCCAATGGATCACTTACACATCAGTCTTCCTGACCCCGAGGCAAGAAGAACTTAATGCTGCCTGGCTGCCACTACCAACTGCTCTGAAAGGGATCACAGTAGTAGGGCCTACAGAGAATGGGGTGAAATGCAGACCAAAACTCAAAACTATAAAAAAAAACCCAAGCTTACTGGTCAGATACTGGTGGAATCTCCATGTGCGGAAGAAAGATCAGTGACGAAAACTGATGATGCTTGGAATCAACTCATGTAACAGACTAACGGAACATGTGAACATCTGTCTCCATAACCCTGAGACCAGAAGGCCTAGAAGATACCCAGCTACACTACCAACTTCTCTGAATGGAGTCACATTAAAAGGTCTTGGATAGAGCATCATAATATGTGGAACAAAACAATATTAATTTTTAAATTAAATTAAAAAAATTTTTTTAATATACAGAAGACCAGGCTTACTGGTCAGAAGGAGACTAGGGGAACCTGAGACTATGGGCTTCGACAACCCCTTCAGCCTGGACAGGAACACACCCTCTCTTTCATTCAAGCAGTAGCAGGTATACAGGAAGAACACCAACAGTAGTAAAATATGCTCACTATGAATAATGGAAAAATCAATCATTCACAATCAAGAGGCAACCTGTACGTAGGACAGTGGTGAGAAGACATGGGAAGTTAGATGGAAGGGAAATAAGAGTCACAGGAAAGAGGCAGATGACTCTTACTTCATAGAAGGGACAGAGATGAAACAAAGTGTATTATTTATTGAATGTAAAACTGATGGTCTTGTCTGTAAACCTTTACTCAATTCACAATAAGAACTTAAAAAAAAAGAATGGCATACAGCTATATTTCTCTGAAATTATAACATATATTCACAGCTTTTCAAGTAGAACCAAATATAAAATAGCTAGTATTCCCTGATCCAACGTAAAGCATACAAATATATGAATATGTCAAACAAGAACGTCTATTTATCAAGCAAGGTTTGCATAGAATTTTTGTGTTTTTGTTTTTGAGGTTTAATTATCTTCCCAGTAGGCTTATACATTTAAACAATGAAACATTAAATTGTTCATCTATTGTGCATACAAAGAAAAAGTTTTTTTCTTCTTTCATATTAGTAAAATCCTAAAATATGCACTTATAAAAATAATATGTGCTATTGATTGAGAACATGTGACCTAACTAGAACCTTAACCTAAATTTAACATTTAACCCTCATAACCACAGTGTAAATACTGATACCCATGTTACAAACAAGAGAAAGAAGGCAGAGAGAAGTAGTATGACTTGCCCAGGGTCACAAAGCTTCCAAGTTTCAGCTCCATGACTCAGAAACTAAGCTGGATTCTTGACTCTACTGAAGCACATATGTTGTTGCTATGTGCCGTGAAGTCAGTTCCAACTCATAGCGACCCTGCATAGGGTTTCCGAGGCTGTAAATCTTTACGGGAGCAGAAAGTCTCATCTTCCTCCCATGGAACAGGTGGTAGTTTTGAACTGCTGACCATGAGATTAGCAGCCCGATTTGTAACCACTATGCTACCGGAGCTCCTTTATAGTTATGGATAAATCATTTTATTAAATAAGAAAACACTTGATCCATAGTATCGGGAATCATATGTACAGAGCCAAAGATTGCCCTTAATCAACTAAAACAATGGTTCAAAATCAATGGTGTAATATTTTTTTAAGAGCTAAAGTATGTTGTGAGTGACAGACCAATTGGGCTCATCATTCACAACATACTTCAACAGCATTAAGAAGAAAATACTCATGGAACTCTGAAATGAGCAGAGACATCTTCATGTTCTAAAAGCTATCTCAATAGTTAATTAAATAGAGTACTATATTTCCTTTATTAAAAAAATTAATTTCATGATGTTCTATACCAAAACTTTAAATAAAAACAAAAATATCTTTGAGAAACTGAAACACAGTTAGGAAATCAAAGTTTTCATAAATTACCTTCCCAGGAGAAAGGTCACAAAAGAGAATTCCCAGTTTATGAAGGTGATGTAATCCAGTAATCAGGTCAATTCCAAATTCTCTCACAACATCTTCTGGGAGGTTTTCATCTTGAGCAATAACCATTTCTAAGGAACCACCTGCAATGAGTTGATAACAGTTGCCCATTTCAACATGTCAACATTACCAAATGCCTCGGTGAGGTTTTATGCTGTGAGATAGTGAGAACTAGTAAGCAATCGAGTTAGCAAATCTGACAATCTGGCAGAGAAAACACTCATGTAGATGAACACAATGGTTCAAACACCGTTAACAGCAGTCTCTGTCCACACTCTAGCGCCACTCCAGGAGCAAGTTGGCTCTGTTTGGAAGAATGGTAAACAAGCAACCAGGTGGCATGAAAAGATAGCCAATCTGAGGCTATTACTTCTCACTCCAGATGCCTGGAGAAATTAACACCTGCAGAAATATGTGTTAAGTTCTAACCCAAAACTGTATACTTACATACAGCATTATGCAGAGTATACTCACATTTACTCACGTGCAAAGTTAAATCAAGTTCTGAAAAGTACTGTGTTGAATAGTAAATGAGTCACATGCCTTATCTTAACAGAAAATCACAACCCTTAGTTAACAACATTGATGAGATAAAGGTCAAACACAAACAGGTATGGTGTGAATCCTCCCATATTCTTCCAAGATCCCAATCACATCTCTTCAGTCTGCTTTCTACAATGTGGAGATTCTTCCAATCTTCATGATCTAACATCAGCCTCACCCAATTGCCAAGGCAGCTGTTGAATGCTAAGTTTGATAATTCACTGTCTCTCAGAGTTCATGGACTAATTTAGCAATACGTGGTTTCTTGCAAGTAAAAGGATACAGCCCAAGAGCAAAAGGATATCAGCGTCAGGGAAAGACATACAGGCAAGGTCTACGAGAATCTCATTTTCCCAAGGAGAGTATATCTTCCCCTTCACCCACCTGCCTGTTGTTGTTGTTGTTAAGTGCCTTTGAGTCGGGTCCGACCCATAGCGACCCTGTACAGGGTTTCCGAGGGTGTAAATCCTTACGGGAGTAGAAAGCCTCATCTTTCTCCCGCGGAGCAGCTGGTAGTTTCGAACCGTTGACTTTAAGGTTCGTAGCCCGATTCGTAACCACTACGCTACCCACCTGCCTAGCTCTCACAAAACAGCACTGAGGCCCCACATTCCAGGGTTCACTGTCATTACCAAGTGGGATCCCTAGCCAAACCAGAACCCAACAAAATCTCAGCTGTAGTAAATCCATCCTGTTAGTCAGGAAATCCATTAAGGTTATTTTTACAAAAGCCAAATAAGACAATTCATTGCACCACACTGCCAAAGACAAGCTTTTTTTGAAAAGACAAGGTTGCCACAGAAACCTAGTTCAAGGGAAAGTGAATTCTCTGAAGGTCCAGTGGTACTGTGATAAAGAGGCTGTTGGGAGTTTATTTTTGTTTTGGTGGGTGAGAAACAATTTCAACCACAGGCATGATTCAAAAGTAGGATATTGCACCTGGTCAGAGGTCAGAAATAAAGTAAAAAACAACATTGGGGATGTTCCCAGAGCACCTCACCAGTGTGTACATCTACCGAAGTCATTCAACCATAATCCCTCTCCTGATGGAGGAAAAATAAAATGTAAATAAACTTTTAATCCAGAGAACACCTTGTATAATTACATTTGCAACAATTCTGACTGTCAATACAATAGGTAAGATTCATAAAATTAGTAATCAGCATAATATATCTTAATTCTTATGATCCTTCATTATCACTCAGTGTATAAACAGAACCAGTTACACATTTTTTCTATTAAACTCTTAAGTCACTGACACAAAAAGTCCAGATAATATTCACATATTCACACATGTACCTTTCTCCTTATAGATGGTTATAAAGAGTTATAAAATAAGACCTGAAACATGTTATCTCTAATATTTCTGTGTGGTGGTATTTGTTAGTTCATCTTTGTGTTTCTCCATATATGTTTCTATAAAGAGCTGTATCCTTTTCATAAAAACAAAAAGACTATAACCTTTTATATTATAATCAAAATTGCCATCGTTGTTGGTGGAGCCACTGATTTTTTTTTATAAATTAGTTAACTAATGAGTAGCTAGTAGGCTTTGGGATAAAGCACTGGACTGCAAGGTTGGTTTGAACCACAAGGTCAGCAGTTCAAACTCACCATTTGCTCCTTGGAAACCCTATACGGGGTCGGATCTGACATGACAGCATTTAACAACAGACCTAAAATGTTGGTTTCCATTTATGGGAAAAACCTGTTTGATAAATTGTTGTTATTGTTAATTGTCATTGAGTCAGTTCCCACTCATAGAACCCTGTATAGGGTTTCCAAGGAACAACTGGTGGGTTTGAATTACTGGCCTTGTGGTTCACAGTCCAGTGCTTATCTTACAGTGCTATACCAGGAGTTCGTTTGTTAAATTAATGATCACTTTAAATTATTACCAAATTTTATGTGGGTGATTAGGTATTTTTTTGATACCTAAGTAAAGTACAATTTGAATTTTACTTGTTTTCCTCTTACCAAACATCTTTTCTGTTTGCCTTTTTTTCTGAAATATCTGAACTATCCATCAAACAAAAGATTTTCAAGCTACTGTAGTAAGTAATATCAGTACTGGTAAATATTTATAAAATAACAATAAGAAAAAGAAAAAAAACTATACCATGTTTGTGCAAAACTATATTCATAGCATTTAACACTATCTTACCTGTGCAGAGTTCTACTACAAGCCAGAGATGATTGCTGGTTTCATACCATTCATGAAAAGTTACAATATTCTTGTGTTTAATTTCATGGGTGAGACGAACCTATAAAAACACACAATATTCACTTTTTTTAAAAAGTTCCTAAAATCTTCGCATCTACTAAGAAATGCCTAAAAATACTAGGGTGAGTCAAAAATTCTGCACACTCTGGCTGTAGAATTTATTTTAATAAACCTTTAGAAAAGACAAATACCTCATTTTTCAATATAACCTCCTTGCTTTTCAATACACTTTGTCCATTTCTCAACAAATTTTGTATTCCCTTATTTTAAAATGTTTTAGATTGAGCTTTTAGTCACTGAATGCACTGCTGTCTTAGTTCTTCATCAGAGGTGAATTTTTGTCCTCAAAGGGCTGCTTTCAGGGGACCAAACAGGTGAAAGTCCAAGGGATCAAGTTCAGGACTATAATGAGGATGCTTTAACACTTCAAAACAAGGTTGTTGCAGAGTGTCAACAGTGTGGGTAGAGGTATGTGGACCTGCATTGTCATGCAAGATCACAAGGCACTTGGATAGCAGTCCTCTGCATCTAATACAGAGTTTAGGCTTCAGCTCTTCAAAAAGCATCTCACTGTAATGAGCACTGTTGATTGCTGAATCTTTTTCATGATAGTGTTCCAATACTGGCCCTTGAGAATCCCAGAAAACTGTAAGCATCAATTTTCCAGCTCACGGTTGACTTTTGAACTTTTTCTTGGTCAGTGATTGAGGAGGTTTCAATTCCACACTCTGCTTTTTACTCTCAGGCTTGTAGTGATGAATCCATGTCTCATCACCAGTTATGATTTTTTAAACCAACTTTTACCTTTGCGTATCAGTCCAACTTTTCTTTGCAGCTGTCTAAACACTTCTGGTTATGCTCTTCCATGAGTGGTTTGGGTACCCATCTCGCACAAACTTTTGAAACTCAATTCTGCAGTGGATTATTTCATAGTCAGAGCCATGACTGATTTGCAAATGATTTGGCACATAATCCACTGTCATTTGTCTATTCGACAGAAGCATTCTACATGCATGCTCAATGATGTCATCAGCAATGGACGTGGATGGGTGTTTAAATATGACCATAATGCAGATAATGTTTGACGGTCACATCTGTGTGGTACTGTGGACTAATACACCAGACTGCAAAGTCATATGAACTACAAGGTTGGTGGTTCAAGCTTACCAGCTGCTCCTTAGAAACCCTATATAGGGTCGCTATGGGTCGGAATCAACTTGACGGCACTTAACAACAACAACAGCAACTGGAAAATGGCTAACAAAATGGTGGAATTCTATACAGACATTTTAAATGATTTTGAAGGCTGGTAATATGGAGAAATGTTATAATGTAAAGTCTTTAAAAAGATCTAAAAATGCTTGTATGTATATTAGCATTGCAAAAACAAATTATTCATAAGAAAATGACTGGAATGTATACACCGGAATATCTACTGCCATTGGTGGAATTGCTGGTACTTTTTAAATTCTTTTTTCCCAGTAAAAAAATTTTCAGTACTAAATATACACTGCTTTCATAATTAGGTAGACTATATAATTTTGAATGAAGAAAACAATAGTGCTGATTTTTCCCTTTTATCCATTTTCGATTAAAAAAAGATAGAAGTTATCAAAGACTTCAGTTTTCTTGAATCAATCAACAACACTCATGGAAGCAGCAGCCAAGAAATCAAACAATGTACTGCATTAGGCAAATCTGCTGCACAAGACCTTTTTAAAGCGTTGAAAAGCAAAGATGTCAGCTTGGGACTAAAGTATGCCTGACCCAAGTCATGGTATTTACAATAACCTCATATGTATGTGAAAGTTGGACAGCGAATATGGAAGATTGTAGAAGAATTGATGCACATGAATTATGGTTTTGGAGGAGAATACCAAAAGTAACATGGGCTTCCAAAAGAACAAATAGATCTGTGTTGGAAGAAGCGCAGCCAGAGTGCTCCTTGGTGGCCAGGATATCCAGACTTCATCTCTCATACTTTGGACATATTGTCAGAGGGACCAGTCGCTGTAGAAGAGTATCATGTTTGGTAAGGTGGAGGGTCAGAGAAAAAGAGGAAGACTCCCAGTGAGATGGATTGGCAAAGTGGCAGCATCAATGGGCTCAAG